TATCAATCTGTATATTGCAATAATAATATTCTGTTTATAAGTGCGTTGCTTTATTTGTTCTGTCTATTTCCTGATTGTTTCCAACATAGGCATTGTGGAGTTATTCAAAAGGCCTTATATATGTCAACTTCATCTAATATATAAAATCCAATAACCCACCAATATTCCGGGCTAGACCAGTATTATTATTTCTTAGGAATTTTATTCAGTATAAAATAATATTTTACATTAATTTTTTTAATATTTTACCATAAAATAAGTTGAGTGGACAGGTCATCATGGGTCGTCAATCTGGAAAATCCAGCAATTGCACAACTCGTTATTTCAACGAACCCCGTGAAATTTGTCGAGACCAAGTTAGGCCGATTTTGATCCATGTCGAGTCTTGATGTCACCAGGTTGAAAACCTAGTGCATATTGCAAAAATCAGCGGATAATCTGAAATCAGTTAAACTTAAATGACTACTTCATTCCCATACACTTTTAATTTAATTTTATGTCACTAAGTTCATAATTTTCCATTATCGATTAAAAATAAAAAAATAAAATCTATATATCCTTACATAAAGGCATATTTTTGAACAGGTAGATCTAATTTTCTCTGCACATTCTAACCTCAGGTTCTTATCATTTCCTAATCAATTCTTTTATTAAATTTCATTGTTTCGTCATTTCATATTTTTGCATGCATTTTTCATTTCAATTTTTTATTTAATTCTTAGTAATATCCTCCATTGTAATGCTGGGTCATGAATTTTCTATTACTTTTTTGTGCAGAAATTTGTGTAATTAATGGGGGAAAATGTATTTACGCCTTGTTTGGAAGGAATTAAGCACGTGAAATCCGAACAAGGGGATATGCTAACCAAGCCTTTATTGGATGTTTGCAAACTCATGTTGCCGATTTTAGGTTTGTTTTAATTTGAATTTCTACTCGAATTGAATTTCATTTTTCCAAAATTGTGATGCTAGATAATTTTGGAACTGCTATGACGATGGTGAAATCCGATATCAACGGTAATATAACGGTAAGATAGATGATTATGTAGCACAATAATCCCGTGTATTCGAGCAGGATGGGATGTATGGCTAATTACATTATGAACTTGCAGAGACTGGAATCTAAGTACTGTAATCCACCAAGATTCAACTACTTGTACAGCACAGTACTCGCTGAGGTTTGAAACAAAAAACTGCTAAATCATCATATAGCTGTACCAATGGACTTCTTTGGTTAACTAGGTACTACTTATAATCGACATGTTTAAGCTTTTTTAAAAGTTACTTTTTTGCATAATCCTTAGTGCGAATAAGTCGATTTACTGTTAATACATTGCAGAGCAATGGATTTTTTAGTAGCCTTGTTCCGTACTCTAGCTGAGCATCAAGATTGGTCAATGTCTCGTGCTTGTAACGATTCATACAGGAAGACCTTGAAAAAATGGCATGGTTGACTT